GAATCGTGGGGTGGTTTTATGGATAGTTTGTGAAGTTTCTCCCACGGATGTAGGGAAGGCACAGAGGTTTGAGAATAGAGCTCAGCAGTGCTGGGGCTGTGGGGAGACAGGAGCCACCACCTCCGTGGCAAATGTGCTTGGCTGGGAAGAGCCTTGAGGATGACAAGGAGAGGCTTGTGGTTGCAGGAGCAGGGATGAGAGCGTCTGTGCCGGGGTATAGAGGTGAGGGAGATGTGGTCACAATGACAGGTTGAGCTGCTGAGCTTTGTGGCTGCGTTGCATCCTGGTGAATTGATTTGATTCTACCTAAATATCCACATCTGGTAGATAAGCAATTGCTGGCAACTGAGGGTGGTTTTATTTTAAATTCATTATCTGAGCTTTGTGGCTAATAAAGTCAAACAGAATACATTTACTTCTCGTTCCTAATAGGAATCCACTGTGCTCTGTAGCAGTTTGTGGGCCACAGTTTTTATCCATACCCCATGTATCCAGCCCTCAGTACAAGGGGAAATTGTTCTTTCCATTATGGCTTTATATTGCCAATCTGATACAATATTTAAACATATTATCTCAATGCTCTGTTTGTCCCAAACCAATTTTTGCTTTGGCCTATAAAGTGAATCTTCATTTCAGTGGCTCCTGTGGTACAGGATGTAGTTACATGCATCAGCTAGTTCAAAAGACCCATATACAGCATGGATTTAAAACTGAATAAACCCACAAAAACCTTAGCTAGGACTATAAATGTCACTGTACTTTTATATATGTCTCCTTTTTTTTAAAAAAAAAGAGAATAGGATTACTGCATGCAGCTATAGCTAAGAGTCCTTTGATAATTTGGTGGGTATTTTAAACCTAGCAATGATATACTTTCATAAAACCACACGTCCCTGTTTGCTGAAGGATGCTAATAAGATGGTTAGCTTTGCTTTCATGCTCGATGTGTTTATGAGTGCTCTTGCCCATTTAGTTGCATCTCTGAATTTAATGCCCCACTCTGATTTCACAGTAATTGCCAGGAGTCTCTTTTTCTTATTGTATGTCCCCACTCACTGTCTGGAAAATGCAGTCTCCTCATTGCTGACCCCATCAGTCTGTCTCCTCATGGTGCTTGTAAAGCAAACCCTCTCCACCAAGGACAAAGATGTTTTTAAACAAGCCGATCTGATATAAAACATAGTTTGCTTAACCCAGAGGTGACCAAGAAGCAGTTGCTGTCTGACTGTGCCCAGCCTTGAGTTGCTCTGTATGGCTGCCCTTCTCCAAAGGCTGCACATGCTGCCATGCCGTGCTGTTCATTATCTGAACAGCATCTGCAGTTCCCTTCTCTGTTACAGATGCCGCAGTCTGCTTAGTTTTGTGCAAATGACACACTGCCCTTATACTCCTGTGAGTTGTCTCTGCCGTTCCTCACCCAGCTAACGTCTCCACTGTCCTGCTTGAGACTTGTCCTGCTTCCACCCTGGACACCCCAGTGAGCAAGTGCCACTGGCCTGGCTACCATGCAGGCACTCTGGGCATCCCCCTTCCCCACTGCAAGTTAAGTCCCAGCACTGAGACATTTGTTACTTGCCCTGCTTCCAAAATCTGCTCCTCCTCTGTTGCTTCTGATCATCCTCTTTGCACCAAATTTTCCCATTTCATGGCTTTCCACATGACACCTCCCATCAGTAACAAAGGTTTGCTTTCTGACTCTCATCAGCCCATGTTAGTTTGAGCATTGTGCTCGGGACCAAAGAAGTGCTTGTCCATCACTGTGTGTGCAGTAACGGCTGCTTGTCCCACATAGCAGTGGCATGCAGCAGAGAACTCGACTGAGTTATTTTTTCCAGTCTACTAAGCTGTCAGGAAATGCTTTCTGTCTTCCCAACCAGTGTGCTCATAAGACCAATTACAAAAAAAAAAAAAAGTTAGAAACCCATCTGTGCATGGCTTTCCTGGGTTTTAAATCTCCACTAACTATAGGGAGAATGCTGGGTGTACATTTTAAATACTATTTACAAAATAGTAACAATCATAGTAACCAATTTGGCTCTTGATTTAAGTTGTGCATACAGACCATGTAACCTCTGCTGGCAGCTACTGAAATTAAGTCCGCTCCTCTATGTTGGCTTGCTTGTCTTCCAGCCTTTTAAATCAGCTTACTTTATACCTTAGAGAATAGTTTTATTTCTATATATATCTCCTCTTCTATTTGCTACCCCAGATAATCCTGTGATCAGCCATGCAGCAGTGTCACTTGAGTAGAATATGGAACGATGCTGATCGTTTTCTCATAGGCTGTCACACTAGCCCAGAAATAGCATCCGTCTACAATGGGAGAAGCTCCATTAACATTTACAACTGTTCCTCTTCCCGACCCCTGAGAATTGCTCCATGGTAGATAAGCAATACTCTGTAATACATTTCTTTGCACTCAGTATTTTGGAGTTGAATTCTGAAATATAAAGGCGCCTAATCCTGATCTGCTCTGGGATACACTGCTCTGCTCTTAGCAAGTGGTGCTGTGAATAGGATTAGCATTTCAACAGCTTCTTTTTTTAACTGTGAGCAATAAACTAAAATAATAGGGCCTGATTCAGAGCTCTCCAAAGTCGGCAGTAGTGCTTTGGCTGGTGTGTGTTGGCTTTGGGTCAGGCCCATAAGAATGGGAAATTCAGTGTTTTCCTGGAAAGGAAGGAGAATGTGTGAATTTTAGAGTTCCTGCTCCTGTGGGGTCTGTCCACACCGAGCTGAAATCCACGGATTTACAAGCCAACAAACACAACTGTAAATTTGACAGCAGGTGAAAAGAAAACGTGTTGCTAGTCATGCAGTTTAAACTTGTGCTTTTTAATGATGTCAAGGGCACTTAGGACATGTATATAAACAAGTAAGCATTAGAGGTATTTCTGCTGCTGTTCCTTTTCTCTTCCCTTGGACATCGTCAGGGCAGAGCATGGGTTGGGCACTGTGGCCAGGATAAGCCATTGGGCTGGGAGGGCTTGCAGCAACTGGCCACAGTGAACACAGCCCTTCAAAGTCATTAACTACAGGCCCATGGGCAAGAGCCAGCTGTGAGCATCTGGCTCTGAGGGCTAGCACGTGGTGTTACAGGCCTGTGCACTTCAGTACCCTGAGCCTGCTTACAGGGAGGTAAGACTGCAGTTTGCTGTTCCGTGCACAAGCTCTGAATTTCTGAACCTCAGCATTCCACGGTGCTTTCTAAAAACACAGCAACAGTGGCAATCTACGGCTTTGTACAGATATCCTTAGAACCCAGTTTTACTAAGTTCCTTCTCCCTGTTTCTTACGTGGTGTGTGTGAATTTTGAGCTGCGGCTGGTAATTAAATGGAAAACCAATAAATTAGTTCAAAATCGAAAATGCGTAGAGGAGCGGATCGAATGTCACATGCATTTGAATCTCTGTGAATTACTGAAAGCTTTGGTGTTGCGACCTGTATCTGTGTCCTTTCCAAAGCACTCTGCACCTCGGAGTGGTGTGGTGAGCAATCGGAAGCAGTGGTTTCCAAATGGCTGAACTGGGGCTCTCCTGGAGTGGGCACAAGGGCACTGCTGGAAATGGGGGATGCTTTGCAGCAGTGACAGTTGTGCTGCATCCTGCAGTTCTTTATCTTGAGGACAAGTTTCTGATTGCTGTGATCTGGAGGGGATCGGGAGCAACCTTCAAGGCTCACATAGTCCTTGGCTGCCAGCTGGAATATTTAGAGGGTTTAGTTCCTCATAGCAACAAAGCACTTCACAACATTTAACTGATTACACCCTTGCAGGTCGGCAAGAGGCATTGTCTCCATTTTGCAAATGGGAGAACAAAACCGGTTGAGAGATAGGCCCCATGGGCTCAGGTTTCTGCTGATATTTGAACTTTCTTCCTAGTGCTGGGTTTTAGTGGGCTTCAACAAGGGAATTGTCTGAGAGAGACAGAGCAGGAGTGCTGAGGGGGTCCAGAAAGGGCTGGAGGTGTATTCGCCTCCTGGATTTGCTCAGGCAAATTAGTTGCAAGGGCATCTGTGTCCCCAGGCAGGGTCTCAAGTGTGGTGTGTGCTGCTGAGGCTCTGTGGAGCAGTCCCTGACAAGCAGGGTGTGCAGAGCAGTGCAGCAGCAGACCCAAGGACACCCAGGCTTGTGTGGCCTCGCAGCCTGCTCCTGTGCCCCTCTCCTGTGGGGCTGGGCTGGGCAGCAAGAGGCAGGTGGAAATGGAGTGATTTGCATCTCTTGGTTACGTGCCAGGATCCGGAATATTTTTCTATCCATTTTAGAGAGGTGCAGGTGTCTGAATGGTAGCACTGACAAAAGCTTGGGTGTGCTGCTATAAGGTGCACGGTTGTAAACGAGCTGACCTGCATATTCTGTTTCCTAATCCTGAGTGATACTGTCAGCTCAGAGAGCTGAGCCTGGCTAATGACTGAAATCCACTGTGCTTTTCTTAGCTAGGATGTGTGGTGATCTGAGATAGTTGTTAAGTGCTACATCCTGAGAATCAGAACAGCATGTGCCCCATGGGCCCAGCGTGCTTTAGAGAGATAAACGGGGTTGGAGATGACGGGGGACTCACTATGAAAAGAACTGATGCCAGGTACATAGTAACCTGCAGTTAACTAGGAGGGAGATTAAATTAATGGGGTTTCCCCTCTGATAAAGATAATGAAGAGCTTGCAAGGACTTGGTTTGCAGCTCCTACACATGGTATGCGTAGGCGCTGTCTCCCTGGCACGAGGAATGCCAAACAGCTGTGTGACAAGAGCAGTGCAGCCTGCGGGGCACCCCACTGCATGACATTCATGGTGTCTGAGACATCGTCGATACTCTTGAGATGAAAGAAAATAGGGGCAAGGAGGAGTGGGAAATGAAATGAGGACAAGGACTGCAGAAAGGGGTTCAAGGTGTCCTGGGAGCCACCACCATACAGAACCCATTTCAAGGCAGGAGGGCATGACATGGTGAGAGGAGAGAGTCAGGGGGCAAATAACAGCTATGATCTCTCTTGTGGATTTAGGGTTTACTGTCAATCCTGCGCAAACTAAAAAGCACCCCAGACCAAGAGGTGAGAATCCTCCTCTTGGGACTGGATAATGCAGGCAAGACCACACTCCTGAAACAGCTGGCATCAGAGGACATCAGCCACATCACACCAACACAGGTGAGGAAGACCTTTCCCTGCACAAGGCAGTTCTTGTGGTCCCACCTGCCACCTTATACAGAGCACTAATGATTCAGCAGTCTTTCACTAAAAGGGGGAGCAACTGGAGCCTGGTGCACCATTAAGTTTCTGTGTTTTCTGTCTAAGACGCTTGCTGAAGGAGCCAGAGAGCATCAGGCCAGATCTGTCAGGTAGTGCAAAAGTGGATGAGTGCCATAGAGTTGTGCAAAAAGCTTTTGGGTCACACTAGGGTTGCATGGATGAGACTTTGTTCCTGTTGTCCTTGCTGATCAGAGGACATGTACAGGGGATGCTGCAGCACGGGGCAAGCCCGTGTCTCTTTGCATCTTTCACCTAGCCAGCTCCAAGGGTCATAGAATCATAGAATCAACCGGGTTGGAAAAGACCTCAAAGATCATCGCATCCAACCCTGTCCTGCATGTCCTGCAGTGCTCCTTCTCTAATGCCCCTCTTCCCCTTTCACTGAGCCTCCCTCAGGGTTGGGGAGAGGGATGTCTCCCATCAGAGGCACTGCAGCATCGCTCCAGAGGAGGTTGCTAGAGAGCTATGGGAGATGCTTCCCCCCACCCTGTAGCTGCCTCCCAGAGCTCCCAGCCGCAACACCCCAATTCCAAGCCCTGGTCCCCTGGGTGGTGTGGCAGCATGTTGCCAGCCCACGCCACATCCTGTTTTTCTACTTGAATGCACTTTCAGTTGGTGCTCTAATTGATGAAATGGACCCTTCAGACGTGCAGCTGTTGCTCTTTAAAGCCCGGCATTAGCTGTGTTGTGTCGAATTGAGTGGAGACCTCTGGCTTCATGTTAGCTGGGGCTGTCTACTCAGCTTTCACCCGCTCAATCCTGCATCTCACAGCAGCCTTGTTTTCTCCTTATCTGCAGCTCTCCCACCTCTTCCTGCACGCACCCTGCTGAGCCCTCCCAAGGTCCTGACTGCATCATATGTTTCCATAGCCATGACAGCATCAACCCTTGACCCAAGAGCGCTGGCAAACCAATGTCTTGGCAGCTGTGTTCACTTTCACCAGTGCCTCTCCCACAGCAGATCCATCTTTGTGGCTGCCCAGCCCATCTCACTGCACTGCACATTGCAGGCATGGGATATATAAGGTGTTCATGTCTGCCTATAAACATGCTCCAGCCATTCAAGTTTATGCTCTATGTGGCTTTGTTTCTGCTCGTTTCAGGGCTTTAACATCAAAAGTGTACAGTCTCAAGGCTTCAAGCTGAATGTATGGGACATAGGCGGACAGAGGAAGATCAGGCCGTACTGGAGGAACTATTTTGAAAACACTGATATCCTTGTGAGTATTGGCTGCAGTTGAATGCTGTGTTCATGCAATAGCTTTCCAAGGTCTCAGCCAGAAATTCAGAAACAAGTAATGTAATGTCCCAGTCCTCAGCAACACCATTGCCATTGTAACAGGAGTTATTCTGAGCGAAATGGCAAGATTGGTTGGGTGCAGTAAGAAAAATACAGTAATGTTTGGAGAAATCATTCGGTTGTATGTTTTTACTTTCACAGGATGGTGCTGTTTATAGCCAGTTCCTTTCCTCTCATCTCAGTCTCCTTCAAATGAAAGAACATTAATAACTTGTAGTTTACCCATCTATAGCCCCTTTCACTGGAGACTCTGAAGGCCTGTCATGGACATTAGTGACTTAAGCCTTGTGTGTAGAGGTAGGTCAGTATGGTGCCCTTGTTTTCTAGTTGGGGAAACCGAGGCACAACAATTAAATGTTATGTCTGGCATCAGATAGGAAAGCTCTGACTGAGGGACATAGAGAAACCTTTGTCTTTTCTTTTGCTCCTTTGATCATAAGACTGTCTTTTAATGATTTTGACAACTTAGCTGTAATTACCTTACAATTAGCTGCAGATGACTACAATTATATTTACAGTGCAGGACCTTTGTGTTTCCATGCTGGAGCACAATGACCTGGGACCCTCCAAGTGCTGTCTTGACTAGTTTCAAAGATCACCTCTACCATACAGACACATATGCCAGGATGAAGGCAGGTTGGAGGCTCCAGGCCTTTCCTCACCCCAAGCAATTTTGCCTGTAGGAACAGAGTAAAGGCAAGGTCTGCAGGGCTCCCATGGGAAAGGGGGAAGCTCTCTTGGAAAGATGCCCTTTGTCCCTCCTGTCACACACACATACTGATGTTTCAGGAGCTTCAGTGCACTTCCATGGAAAGATCAGTGCAACTAGGAATAGGACTCTCTACACTGAGGCTCATGTCTGGGTCCTGAAAGGCCTGGCTGTGCCTGCAGGTTTAGAAAACATTGTCCAAATGAAGCTGTTATTTAGATGTCATGAATAAACCCTTGGTAATCTCTTTTCCCAATCCCCTTTTTGAGCCTTAATTTGGAATTTGAAGTTTGAGGGCAGCCACCAGTGCATAAACCTGGTTGTTTCATTTTGCAAAGGCTAACGGTGAGATCTTCCTAGGGGAAGGATCTAGGTTTGAGAAACGAGCAGGACACATATCACGTGCTCCTCTGTGGCCACTGAGAAGAGACACATGCTGTGGCTGTGAGGTGATTGTGCCCACTCAGCCCAAGCTCTGCCGCTGTGTGGCAAGGAGGCAGTAGGTGTGTAGATCTAAGTCAGCCCTGCAAAGCAGCAGCTATGGGATCTCTGCCTGCTATGGCAGGTGCTCAGGCTGCAGAGGCTGTGCAACCACAAAACAGTATCTTTAGGACTGCTGGCAAAGGCAGTGAGCTACACTGGCCTGTGGGCTTCCAGCCTTCCCAGTGTGTGCTGCATGGGAGGTGCAGAAATAAAGGTGAATTTGAAGACTGAAAGAGATGAAAGCAGTTGTTTTCCCTGCCCCTCTCCCATCCCAGTTAACACAATGTACAGAGAAAACACTTCTTTTCATACAAGTAAGAAAATAGGTAGATAGAAGTAGAGTCAGTTTTGGGGGAAGCAGCAGTGTGAATTCAGAGAAATAGCTGGTGCACAGACAGACCTGAGCTCCCCTGCCTGCACTCCATCCTGACACTCAGGCCCAAACTGGGAGATCTCGGCATATTGAGGCAGTGCTTTCTCTGCCCATACACACCAAAACTGGGATCAAGTATATGCTGATGGCTCTCTCTGTCTTCTGCCAGTCTTCACCCCTGTTTTAGCTAGTAATTTTACCCTCTGACAAACCTCGTGCAGGTTGTGCATCTGTAAATTGAGCCAACTTATCCCTCATGTTATTTCTTTATCTAGTCCCACCGCTTGCAATTTCTGCCCAAGCCACTTACTCCAGATTGTGTTTTGGCATGTTTCTCAGAGGAGGTACCCAGCTTTATAGGATTTTTTTCTCAAAGCTTCATTCTCCAACATGGTGTTCAAACTGGCAAACTATGCCACCAAGCCAAAAACAGGCTCTTGTGTGGCCCTGGTTATAGAAGGAAGTTGGAGATGAGGTACACTACAGTTCCCAGGGCCCCCTGCTTCTCTCTTCTCCTAAACTGTATTGCACAAAACAGAAAGGACCCTCTAAAGAGTATTAAAAAGCAGGAAGTGATTACAAATTCAAATCCATGCAGGTGCCTCTGAATGAGAGCTTGGTCTTGCATCACACACCTGTGATATTTGGAAGCTTAACCCAGGCAAATAAGGTGTGGATATCTGGCTGATTGCATATTCAGTCAGGCACCTGCAGCTATTTGGCACAGTGCTTGCTGGTTTGGAAGTAGGCACTCGGCACATACTTTACTTTTTCTGTGCTGTGCTTTTGTGGCTTTCGCCCCGAGCACTGTTGTCTCCAGTTCTCATCTTGCAAAATAGCTCCCAAGCAAGGAGCGGAGCGGTGCAGGAGAAAGCTTCGATGGTTGGGACTCCAAGCTCTTCCTTGCCAGTTAGAGAAGTACTGTAATATGGGAGGTGCTGCCTTTCAGTTGTGAAGCAATACTCGACTCTTGCGTTCATGTGTTGCTGAACTTCCCCAGAGATGTCCCTTGGGAGGTCTGATGACAGTCCAGTCGCACTCCAGTACACAACTACCAGCCCTTCAGCCTCTTCCCTTCTTTTGGTCTGTGTTTCCTACCCCAAATGGGATGCACAGGGGTGGGTGCTTGGCAGGGCAGAGGGGACGGCTGTAGCTGATACTGTATTGGTGCATGTGCTTGGGATCACATTGCAGGGAGAGGCTGTGTCACGGGTGCCCATGGGCCTTTCCCCATCACGTGGCACCGCGGGCGTGCACGGCTGGCGCGTCCCCACGCAGCTGCGTCCAGCCCTCCCGCGTGTCCCCCAGCCCCTGTCAGCACACATCAGCCCAGCACTGGGAGCACCACAGACCCCAAGTGATCTGCAGAGAGGTCTCTGAGGTCGCTCGGTTGCCTCCTCAGGCCTGGCACACAAATTCTCCTGCTGTGTGTTGGGTCCCATTTCAAACAACTCGAATGCTGCTCATTAACTGAGTGCCTATAGTTTAATAGATATTGCTGCTAGAGATCTTCCCTCCCCCTGCTCTTTGGTCAAATGTACCCTGGAAGCATGGAGTCTTATGCTGAGACTGCCTGCAAGGATGCCATTTATCTTGATGGCGGGGTGCTGTGCTCATCTATTCCCTGAAAACCAGGCTGACACTTGCTCCCTGTAAGCCACCAAAGAGCATGTAGATGACATGCTAGCAGCTTCAATCACTACTGATGGGGAATGGCAGGGACTGGAAGCAAAATGTTCAGTGTTTGTCACCAGTCCTCTCCCTGTCTGCTGTCCCAGCATCCTTCTTCAAAAACCTTCCCAAACCAAGCAATGAAAAAGGGATACCAGGCTATTTTTGCCTGAGCGTTATACAGAGGTTCCCTGTTTTTCAAGATGTAGCCTGATATTTGTGTGCTCTGAACTGCTGTAGCATTGCTAAGTGAGAAGGAAGAGTGTCTGGACTTACTAATTATGTATTTAGGGGGACCTTTGAGGAGCCTTGTAGCCTGTGCAGAACAAGAGCTGCCTTCACTGAGAAGGCTCATTTACATTTACAGAAAGAATTCAGCATGTGCCATGCTGCCTGGAGAGGGTGGAGACCCCTTCCCAAGCCAAGGAGCCTGTGGGCTAGGGGATCCCCCCTTCTCCATACCAAGGGACAGGTGTCTGATTGGGACCATGAGAGGTGGTGCCCGGCCCTGAGGTGGTGGCAGGACTGTGCTGTCCATCTTTGTGAAACAGCTGTTCCCTGTCTTTTCCATCATCCTGGAGGACAAGCTGGCAGATGAAGATGGAGTCTTGCAGGAAGGATCCAGCCCTCCTCCCCAACCAGATGCTCCAGGAGGCTGTAGTGAGATCACTTGATGGAGAGGAACTCAATGTCCCCAATATATTCATGTGTCCCTTGAGTGCCATTGTGTGCCTTGGTGGCTTATTGAGGAGGAGATGCTAGAGGGCAGCACGGCACAGTCACACCCGTGCGGAGCTTGTACACTGCTTACTGGGGTGAAAACCATGTCTGGCTCCCCAGGTTTTTCCCTCCTGTGTTCAGCTTCAGCTTGTCAGCAGGTCATTTGAAGCCGTACCAGCAGTCTCCTGTTCTCTTCAGATAACAGATGCTGTGGAGATGGTGAGAGCATCCCCAGTACTCACCAGTACTGCCCCCAGCTCCTGTCTGATCCTGCCCACATGGCTGTCCACCCCCAGCTTTAAAAGAGGTGGTTCTTCTCCTTTCAGAACATCATTAAGTTTTGTCAGCATTTGCTATAAATAGTAATGAGGGTGTTTGTGCCCAAAAACTTAATTATTAGGCTCAGCTTAAGCACGTGCTGCTGGGAAGAGTAACTTCTCCTGTCATTTCTTTTTCAGATCTATGTCATTGACAGTGCAGATAGGAAGAGGTTTGAAGAAACGGGTCAGGTAAGTTACTTATGCCCAGTTGCCTTTGAAGTAACTCAGTGCTTCTGAGTGCCCCTTGCTCACAAAAGTTAGGAAGAGGATTTTGTTGTTTATGAGGGAAATTTGCATTTCAAGAGACTTGCCTTTCAGCATCAATGTAGATTATTTTGGTAGATGTGAAACAAGGAAAATAGGTAGCCTAATTCCATTTAAACAGAACAGTTTTCATTAATGTTATACAATAATAGCAAATGGAGCCTCACACTGAAAGCAAAAACTTCTCCAAGTCCTTTAAACCTTGCCAAACCAAGACCCTGAGGAATCCTATTTTCTTATTTGCAAAGTTGAAATGGAAATCATATTGTCTCTTGGATGTAATTAAAAAAGCCAAGAACTTTCTAACTAGGACTGGCCAGAAAATAAGATTTCCGTTTTGCAAAGTTTTGATGTTTTGTAACATTTTGTGTTTTAGGACTTTTGAACTTTCTTTTGTAAAATTCAGAAAGTGACAATGTCCCAAAATAGCTAGCAACAGATTTACCCCCCAGAAACAGGAGATTTAGATTAAAGCCCTCTGTTCTGCCTGATTTGAAGGAGGCACTTGATCTTTTGCCTCTCAAGGGTCATGGACACACCCTAACAGCAGAACTGTTGGTTGTTCTTGGGATGGAGGGAGTCTTTCCCTTGCTGGAGCTATTTCATTTTATATCAGTGATTAAATATTCATTGAGCAAAAGAGAAGGAGAGGAAGCAGAAGCTTAGAGCACTTGCCTGAGTCAGGCGGAGTCAGCCTGGACCCCTCATATTTCCACAAACACTTTTGGTTTCAATAAATCAGCCGTGTCAGATGAAAGACCTATTTTGTTGAAAAATTCCCAGCCAGCTCTGTTTATAACTCCTTTCTCATCCTGGTTTCCAAATCAAACATTTCTTTTTTGGGGATGGAGTCGTATTTCCACTGCAGTTTAGCATCTCCCCGATGGCACTGGTTTAATCCAAAAGTTTCTATCCAGTGGATAAAAGATGTTAGGACAGTATCTGAGAGCGTGAGACCTTTCCAGCTAAATGAGGAGCCCACAAAAATCTCATGTACTCATTTGTCTGCAATGCCAGCAGTCCCTACAGGTTCAAGTTCCGCTGAGTTTGTCATACATTCCTATAGGGAAGTGACTGGAGACTGGGTGCTTGTTTCACATGAGACCATTGCACAATCTTAGGCATGAAGTATTTCAGCCATCATTGATCCACCACAGATTCAGATTTGAGCTGTTAAAAAATTCTCTTTGAGTCACCCAGTTTTGAATGAACAAACGTGTTTTTCCAGATGCCACCCAATGTGTGCTGTGCATATGGAGCCAAAATCCAGCTAGTAAAGCTGATCTAGCTTGTCTTCAGCTAGCCAATGCCTTCAAAAGCATCAGTACTTTCTTGTGAGAGGGACATTTCCATTTCTGGTGGGGGAAAAAATGTCCTCTCCTGTTCAAATTGCAGTGTATAAAACTTGGAACAAACCCCTGAAACTCATTATTAGCAAAGATATCAGGGCGGGTGTCAACGGCTGCTCAGGTACAAATGCCAGTCAGGCAGTAACTCAAGACGTCTTCCTCATACTGCCAATTTACATGGGTTTTGCTGTTTCATCATATTTGGTCTCCTGGGCTCAGGGACTGGTAAAACACAGAGTTGTAGCCTTTAAGGCAACTGCTAATTTCAGACCAAAATGAAGATTTTTGTAACCTGTAATTGAAAGAAATAGCTTTTGAACCTTGGGCAGCGATGATTGTATACATTTTTGCTCTCTTACAATAAGATCTAGGTTTCACTGGAACACACTCTTCTAGCATTTGCCCTAAATATATTTCTAATTAGAGACAACCACTGGTGGTTGAAGGTTTTCTTCCCTTCCCTCTCAACGTCTTCCCCCCACTCCACTCCCTTGTAAATGATACAGGAGCTGGCTGAGCTTTTGGATGAAGAAAAGCTTAGTGGAGTCCCCGTGCTCATATTCGCTAACAAGCAGGATTTGCTGACGGCTGCCCCTGCTTCGGAGATTGCCGAGGGTCTGAACCTGCACACGATCCGGGACAGACTCTGGCAGATCCAGTCGTGTTCAGCTCTTTCAGGAGAGGGAGTACAGGTGAGGCTCTGGAGAAGGCTTGCTGTGCCAGCAGGCTGTCTGTACGAGATTGGTGATCTGCAGGGTGGGGCTGGACCGCTTGCCTCACCGAGGAGGGTCAGCACAGCCAAATCCTTGCAGTGCAGAACGGGGTGGGAAACACACGTCTTGTTGCCTGTGCAAAGGGAAGGGAGAGCTGTGGGCCCTTGGGACCTCTCCATCCCCAGGAAAGTGGAGATCAATTGTCTCCCCACTCAGGAGCCATTGGCTAGGCCAGATGAAAACATTGATTTATTTTAAAGAGACTGCTGTCAGGTTAATCATTTTCACAAAACAAATCGTCTTTTACTATTAACCCCTTTGACTGTTACCAGTGTGCACTTCAGAAATCTGATTTACTCCACTACTGATGTCATCTGGCATTTTGCTCAACCCAGAGAGAAAAACTGATCAATTTTTCTGATCCAGAGAAATGCAAGAGTTGCACACGGGGCAAGGACCACTTCTAATGGCAGCACGTGGGGCAGCAAAAACCCACAGAGGTGCCTGAGCAGAACTGTAATAGCTGTGTCTTGGGCTCCTGTGCTGTAGCCAGTTCCTGCGGTATAGTAGCTCTTTGTAATGTAAATGGGACCTAGGTTTGTTTATTTCACTCTTAGGCTTTCCTGAATTAATGAAGTATTTGCAGTGCTCAAAATCCGAGTACTCCCTTCACTGATATTTAAAGAAACAGAATGGTGAAGACATTTATCTTCATTGCAGTTTCAGTAAAACCTTATTTGCAGATGCTACAGGGCTGTTCAGGATAGTCAGATCTCGAGCTGAGTACAGAGAGCTGCAGAAGCAGCCTGCCATACTGAGTGGGCAGTAAAATGGCAGATGAAATTCAGTGTTGACAAGTGCAAAATAATGCACATGAGGAACAACAATCCTAACCATATTCATACAACGATGGACTCAAAATTATCTGCGATTACTCAGAAGCAGATCATTGGGAACAGCAGCTTAGTGCTCGTCAAAGGCCAGAGAGGAAAGCCCCAACGCTAGGCAATCATAAGAAAGTAAACAAGAAACATCTTTTCTAGCAGGTTAAAGAATCATGGAGTACAACAAAAAATTAGGTTGAATGGTCTTCAGGAGATCTTTAGACCAACTTCATGTTTAAAGGAGGTATAACTTTGAGTCTAGAGGACGTTGCTGAGAGCCTTGTCCAATCAAGTTATAAATATCTCCAAGCATGAAGATTCCACATCCTCTCTAGGTAACCTCTTCTAGCACTTAACTAATCAGAAAAAATATTGTCCATATATCTGCTCAGAATTAGGAGAGATTTGAGAATCCGCTGTTGAGAATGATCAGTAGCACAGAGTGGCATCTGTATACAGGGATAATAAATAAATTAGGACTTGCAGCTTGGAAGAGAGGGGACATAGAGTGGGAACATCTTCTGGCTTTATAAAATAAGGTATAAAAATGTCAGATAGACTGTATGCTATTTTTCAGATTGCTAGAGGAAGGGTGTTCCTAATGAAAAAATTAGACAACATCTTAAAAGAAATAAAAATAAGTGCTTCTTTGTGAGTTGGGTAATTACATTGTGGATCTCATTGGCACAGGATATTGTGGAGACCAAACGTATCAGTTGGTTCAGAAAAATACTAAGTGAATTGCTGAAGAAGGGATCTGTAGGCAATCACTGACTACTAAGATCTGCAGGCAGCATTTGGCTGAGGAACAGCCCTGGCTATGGACTGGGAGGGAAGAACAGGGCAAGGGAGATTCTGTTCCTTTATGGTCTTTCCCCTGGCATCCAGAAGGAGGAGGATGCTGGCCTGGATGAACCATTGGTCTGATCCAGTATAACAGTTCTTCTGATTTAAAATTCTCAACCTGATGTTTAGACCTAAATGTAGTAGATGGTGTTGCCTAAAGGGCCTTTACTTACTTAGCTAAGATACAAATTCAGCTATGCTGCAGCCAGTCTTGTGAAAGGCTTCAACTCTGTTCAGAAGTGGTGGTGATAGAGGGAAATGCATTCCACGCTGGCAGCATATATTCCAATCTGAAGAAATGTGATCAGGAAAGTGAGGCTGCAGTTGACAGGTTTTCAGGCAGGCATAGGTCACCTTCTTCCCTCCTCCAGGCCTTCCTCTAGTTTATGGAAGCCCAAGTGAGCTCTCCAGCTGTGAAGGGGCAGTAAAACAGCAGATGAAATTCAGAGATGTGTGTTGGATGTGGAAGAACTAAATGATAGAAAGTGGCAGTTTCTGTTCATGTTCTTTGAAATATGCCTCCTCCTCCCCAAACGCTTCTTCAATGATAGCACCTTCTTACTGTGCCTCCTCCTTGAGGTGCAGTGCATCCCTATACATTCAGTAGCATAAAATACACAGCCCAATACCTTCTACCTGGGAAATGAAATCTGCTTCTGCATTCACTTCCAGAAAACAGAAGACCAGAGCTAAATAAAAGTGTTTTCAGACCTATATAGTTTGTTCATCATGCTTATCTAGACAAATTAATTTAGATGCAGGCCAGATAATGTCCCACTTTGTTGTAAGCAGTCTCATTTCCCTAAATACTGCAGCTTATTCCATAAATGATTATTGCAGAAAGGTCAGGGAAGTAGCAAACTCTTTGTAACTTACAGAAGAAGCCCTACATTTCGCTTTGGCCATAACTCCAGCCCTGTCAAATCAGACATCAAGAATGCCAAGCTCTCCCTTTCCTTACAAATTGAACAAAATGGTTCGGGAGATGGTTTTTAAACTAAACCTGGACCAGCCTGGGAAGAAAGGTCCTTTCTTCCCTTCAGTCCTGGGACTCTAAGGAGAGGTCAACATGCTCAAGATTTAGGAGAATAAAAGAATTTGTTTAAAGAGTGAGATTAAGAAAGATGTTTTTGAGAACTGCGGTACACAGTATCTCTACCAGTGGCTCAGAACAGGAGCTCTCTATACGTAGTTGAATCTCAGGTCACTGCTTTAAGGACTTCTTTGAGAAATGACAATGAGTGACAGCAAAATAAATGAAGACATGGAAGCATCAGGTATTCAGAATGAAAGCCAAGGAGCGAGCACGCTAACCCTCACTGCTGATGGACTATATTGGCTGGAGCAGAATTGGAGACATCACTGGTGGAAGAGTGGTGGCATATCTTGTACTGACCACATTCAGGAACAGAGTTTATAGGGGAAGATTTTTGTGATAGCTTGAAGGGAGAGCAATGAGCAAAGATAAATAATGCCAATACATGAAGGAGAAATAGTTTGAAGGTCATTTAATTAGTTTAGCTGCTAGCACCATGGTGTACAGAACTGGGTAGTTAAGACTGGGGATTTCAAGGTTAATGAGATAAGATTATGGTTAATAGAATGATATAAATTTAGAGAATTTAACTATTATTTGAAATGGGTTATTTAATAAAACTGTTAATTAAGGGGGGAATCCATATAGTCATCTTCTCTTTTAAAATTAACCATTGGGACTCTGGAAGAGGGGCCCAGCAGTGTCCTGAAGCAGGCTCAGAAGAGAGGTGACTGGGTTAACTGGAAACCCCATGGAGTGTCTCTGGATGCCAGCTGGTAGCCCCTGTTATGCCAAATGAAGTCTTCATTATCTCCCAACTGTAACCATGGGCAGTGCGTGTCGTATTAATCAGACTTCACGGTGCCATCGAGGGAGGAATGGCATCCCTCTTGCTTACAGGCTTTTTCAATCAAAATATCTCCTTGGGTCTCCTTCAGCCCTAGTCAGGAAAGCAGGAAAGCCTTTTCTCCCTGCCACAGTCATCTGGGCTCTGCCTCTGGAGCGGAGTCCTGACCAGCCTACCCTGAGACCCTTGCATAGGGTACAGCAAGTGAGGGAGGTGATCACTGAGGTCAGCAGAGGAACATAAGGGAACTGCTGTCTCACAACAGCTCTCTGGTGCTCTCTGGTCTCTTGGGGTTGTATTTGTGACCAGATCTCCAACTGTAGCACTTGGCATGCAAAAGCTATGTATATTCCACCCTGTCCAGCTGGGGTGGGGTGATGGCAGGCAGGACAACTCTGCTTTGCAGCCTGCCCTCTTGCTGGAGGTGTTATTTAGGGGCTAGGATGTGATATTAAACATGACTCAAGGCTTTGGAGCAATCTGTGCTCTGCAGCTTGTTTCTTCTCTGAAACAAGAGTCTCGGATCAAGGCAGCAGGAGTTCAGCCTGCCCTGAGGAACTGTCCTCCAGAATGATGCTGCAGCATATTGTGTCCAGAGTCTCCCAAACATAATGGCCCTCTGGAGACCATTAAAAGCCAGTGAAACTGAGAGTAGCCACTAAACTTCTCTAATTTATGCCAGAGCCTGTCTGGCCCAAAGGACTGTGGGAAGGGCTGATCCTCCCTCTCCTCCCTGGCTGTTTCAACCCAGCTGAGAATGAAGCCAAAGACCTAAGTTACATCTATCCTGCGATTCAGCACTTTCATAAGGGCAGGATTCAAACAGGACCCCCCCGGCAATGTGGTATCCACAGAGCTTAGGTTTTGTCTTAAAGATGTCTTGGTGAGGGCAGGCTGCATGGGGATCTTCCACATCTTAACAAGTTTCTGAAGCTACTTGTAAATGTGATTTAAAACCAGTTTCGATGACTGCAGCTCTCCTGGGGCAGGCAGAGCCTGTGCTTGTTGAGGAAAAGCAACCATATTTCCAGACTGCAGGGCAGCGTCTTCTGATTTTTAAGCAGGGTGAGGAGAGAGTGTGCGGCCCTGCATCAGGGATACAAGGTCTCAGAGGACAAAAAAAAAAGAACTTGCACCCAGGCAAAAAGCAATGGATAATGCACTTGCAGGAGCCCGTAAAAGCTAGCCTGTACAATGACTGGAGGTGCAAGGAAATGACAGATAATGAAGGCATAGCTCTGGCCGTGCAGAGGGAGAAGAAAGTGACAGTTAAAATAACGCATACCAAAAATGCTAGAGATGGAGAATTTTGCACTTGCCTGACCCAATTTGTTATGGCAGACAGAGGATTACATGAAAGAATTAAGCTTTGCTGTCCTTAAGGTCACATTAGGGGTCACAAGTTTGTGGCCTTGCCTGATCCCTGGCTTGCAGGGGAGCAGAAATTGGGAGGCTTTTTATGGGGTGGAAAGGACTTGTTCACTGTGTTTGAAGTCAGATTACTTCACTCCCATAGCCGCAAAGCTGATAATGCAGAGAACAAGCAAGCAGTGGGCTAATCTTAAGCAGGACTTTTTATTTCTCCCAGGGAAGGCTCTACCAGTACTTTCCCAAAGGGCATTAGAGTACAACTCCCTTGGCACAGTAGCAGATGGGACTGCAGCAAGGCGGGGTTGTGCCGAGCAGCATTTCTCTGCAAGGAGCGTTATCGTCTTCCCAGGGGTTCTCTCTCTTTGCTTTGGTAAAGTTTACTAGCTGCTTGTTAAGGAGCTAAGAGAGGCAAAGCTGAAAGATCTGAAATCTTTCCCTGGCTTAGTTTTCCCAGGGTTGATTTGAGGCTGGAATACTAATATTGTTTCCTTCTCCATCCTCAGAGTACCTGCCAATGTCTCTGTGTCTCAACAAAGCAGCACAAGGACATCTATCAAGATCTAAATGTTACTGTAGGGATTGTGCTTTCTTCACAGAGCCAGCTTTTAAGCATGCAGATATAGGGACAGAGCGTGTAGGGACAAAGGATGAGTTGATTCCTTGAGGACTTGACTCTTTGAAGCACTCCTTCCTGTGTGCCTTTCCCATACTAGCTCTTTGTGTTTGTAGCAGCTTCCCTGGATTTCTGTGTCTTACCAATGCTCCCATCCTGCTTCAGACCTTAGGTAGAAAAACTGCAAATGTGTCTTTTGCTTTCCATTGCATTTGCCATTCTCCAAAGCAACTGGGGACACTGCAGAATGAGGACTTGACTCTTTGAAGCACTCCTTCCTGTGTGCCTTTCCCATACTAGCTCTTTGTGTTTGTAGCAGCTTCCCTGGATTTCTGTGTCTTACCAATGCTCCCATCCTGCTTCAGACCTTAGGTAGAAAAACTGCAAATGTGTCTTTTGCTTTCCATTGCATTTGCCATTCTCCAAAGCAACTGGGGACACTGCAGAACACACACCCCTCAACAAAGTTGGACCAGAAGCTACGGATGTAGCCAAGGAAGGCATCTCACACATACCTCTTTGATACAGCTGAGCATGCTAATTTTCCCTTTATCACTGTCAGACAGGGAGATATTTACAATTAAATGTGATATTTTTCTGTCAGTTAACTCGTGCCAGAAGAGAGTTTTTAAAAATCTGTTCCTGCTTTAAAAGTTTGGTGACCTACTTAGGTATTTCAAGCCTGTTTGGAGTTCACCTTTCCTCTTGCATTTTGCTATGTCATTCTTTTGCCCTCGTTAAATGCTTCATGCAGCCAAGCTCCCAGCCATGGTAAATCCCATCATAAACTCTGCTTTATGACCCTCGCAGCGCTGGTGCTGAAACAGTCTGTCTTTCCCCTTGCCGAGCTCCCCAACGGCAGCAGGCAGAGTTTTAATCACTGTGAATTCAGGTTGTGGTCAGATTAGGTAGAAGATAGGATGCGTGTTTGTTGTTTTGCAGTGATGTATTGTTTCTGGGATTACTGTGCTGAATAGCTGAGGGTGTCAGCTGATATTTATTACTTTAAGCTGTCTCAGCTGTTCTGGTTCAGCAAATAAACCTACATTCAAAATGAATGAGGAGCTCTGCTTGCCTTGTATGCCATGATGTGTGCAAATGTGATTATTGCTTCCGAGGCAGGGGAAGCTGAAATCATTGTGGGAGCATTTCTAGTTATTTATTTATTTTTACTCTTTGCAGGCAATCATGCAGATTTCTAAAGCACACAATCAAGTCAAAGGCTTGACACCTCTCCTCCTAGCCCCATTGTTAAACCCTGGCATTCCTCTTGCAGGGAATCGCTTCCTCTCTCTCTAAAGTGATAAGCTTTAAACCAGCCATTGATTGCTTAAGGCATTACATGTTTTACACCTAGGTTATCAGTGTTATTGAAAGGGGAAGACACAAAGCTACTGGGCCTTAAAATGAATCTACTGCTCATCTTTTCCCATTTGCTCTGAGGATTTCAGACAATTTGTTTTACACTGATCTCTGCTGTGAAGATAAATAAATGAAACTGGAGACATCAACCCTCCCCAAGGTTAGAGTTAGAAGTGTTATTAGTGTAGGTCCTCATCTGCACCCCAGCACAAGCTAGGCTCACTTATTCTTTATTTAACACAGCAACAAGGGCTGATTTCAAAAGTTGCTGCTCCCCTTCAGATAAGAAGTGTCACATAGCACAGCTATCAAGGTGAATTGGTATTTTCAAGTGAGAACCTCTCTGCTTCTGATTAAGCCCTGAGGACTCCCTCTCTTCTCTCTTAACTCTTTAGCTCCCCTCTGATGTGGCCACCACCTTCATGGCTGAGGGGCAACATACAGTCATGGCAGTGGGACTCGGCTCACCCGAAGGGTCTGCCACGCTGTGCCTTTGGCCATCTGTCCTTTGGGAATTCGAGGTCCTTGGCAGACTTCTGGCAGTCTGGGGATAAGGATGTGGGAAGCCAGCAACACTGCTGCCGTGGGGCTAGCAGCGATGCTGGCTCAAAGGCTGTGACCTTTCTTAGGGTCTAACTGTCGCTTTAATCATCCAGAAACGACCACTGAAGATAAACAGTGAAATCCCCCTGCTCCGAACTCTAAGGTGGCATTTGCCCAATTTCCAAGCACAAAGATGTGCTGCTCCCCTCTCATCCCCAAACCCCGACCTGCCTCCTTTTTGCCCTCCACCTCCCTGTCAGCAGAGGTACCTCGTAGGCAGGGTAGAGGTAGCGGATTTGATGGGACACAAATATGAGGACACTGTGCATCTTGTGCTCCACTGTGCTCGTCTCCTAGGGGATAAGTGACAGGAGCAGGTGAAGTGCTACTTTGGCTCTCAATAGCATATACCATTCTGTGATCTCAGCAATAAACTCACAAATCAGGCATTCACAGCACAAGTGTTGCTGTCCCGCTTGCAGTGGCCAGAAAAGTCACCCACATGCTTTTGTAGAGATACTTAGAACATGACCACATTGCTTCTCACTGAACCCTTGTGGGCCCATTTTCTGTGGGGGCCCCGAGGAACAGGGAGCAGGGTCCACATCTGGTTATTGCAGTGACTTTTGTGAATCTGGATTTCATGGCTTAAAGATGAACAGAGAATTAGAGCTGTATTCTTAACAGGGAGCTGACTGTATAATGAACAGTCCCCTAAAATCCAGAGTCTCAAAGACAAGATGACTTGCCTGAGGTTACACAAATCGTCTGTAGCCAAACCTGGAACTGAGCCTTCATCTGCCACTGACATACCTTGACTGCAAAGTGATCCTTCCTCGAAGGACCTACACATAACGACATGATGAGACAATGATACTCTTTATGGTCAGATGAAAGATTTAATAACCTCTGTATGACAACATCTACCAAGCAAGGAAGCACTTATTTTTTTAACTGCACAGAGGGGCAGGCAGGGGGCAGATTGAGGAGGCAGAATGTGGTGCTTACAGAATGGTGGTGGGGTGGGACTGGGGATTCCTTTTCCCTTTGCTTGACTAACATTACCTTTCTCTGTCTGAAGGACGGCATGAACTGGGTGTGCAAAAATGTCAGTGCTAAGAAGAAGTAAAGTGTTCTGAGCTGCATGGAAATGGAGGAGCGGTGGGAGCAGAATTCTAGCCTGAAAACACTAATTTGCTGCTTTCTGACCAAATGTTTTTCCATCTGTGCACAGCTACAGCTGTTAAAAGAAAAAAATAGAGAGAGAAAAAAGGGAACAACATCGTTTTAAACCTACTGCTGGATTTGGAACTTGACCTGCTCTTTAGTATCGTTTTTTTATCCTAATAAAGGAATTACATATTTCCTCCCTATGCATAAATAGTATTAAATGTCTGATTAGCAAGCAAGTTTATAAGCAGAAGCAAGACTGATCCAGTGCAGAGCAGAGGGACTGGTTACTGTAGTTGCTTAGGTGCATAGGCCCTGCCCTATGTGCACAGTTGCTGAGGACACGCTCAGGTGTCAGTCACAGCTTCCCCTCAGTGACAGATAAAATGCAATTGTGTTACCAATTGTGGGTAGTTTCTTAAAATAAAGCTGCTAAGGAGTCATATGTGTAATGAGGGTAGAAGACTTCCACGTATTCCTATAGCCATAAAAGAGGAGTTTGATCGTAACAAGGCACTGTTGCATTGCAACACTGCTGTAGAAGGGAGAGAAGGGTTATACGTGTATAATTGAGGCTCTTTACAGTCAGAATAATGCAGGATGAGCGTGCCTAGGGCTTTTCTCACAGCTGAAGGAGAATTTAGCCCAGCATTTCACCTTGAGCCAGCAAAAACGTGGTTCCTCCGTTCAATAAGTTCCATATGTGAGATTAGTCTTGATGTTGAACAATCCCTGTTGATTTTCCCGTGATGTTAAGGCAACTCTGCAGGAAAATGCAATTAAGTCCATGATTACTTTCTAGAATGAGATATCAGGTCCCAGGTTTCCTTTTTGAAATGTGCAAAATCTATTCTCCTACCCCTCCACCTCCGCATGCCTCACCCAGCCCTGCCAGGGACCCGAGGCACTGCCCCAGGTGGGCTGGCTGCCCAGGGCCTGAGGTCCCCAGCCCAGTGCCAGCTGCAGAGTGCCCTGGTGGAGGGTGAGGATCATGATGAACAGCAGATGGGAAGCACTCTAAAATGAACATTCATTCTTCCCCAAACTGGCTTTCCTCTAAAAGGATGCAGTTGCTGAAATAGGAAAGAGAATGTGTTTTCCACCTCCTCGTCCCCAGTTCAAACCTAGCCCCAGCTGACAGCGAGCAGGAGCGATTAGCACGCCAAAGCAGCCATGTCCTGCACCAAGCGAGCTCGGTGACTCCTGGGCCAGAGTCTAATGCACAGATGGTAAAATAATCCCACTGCCCTGCTTGCCAGCTTTGTTTGCTGCCTGCCTGCGAAAGGCCAGAGAATGACTAGGGACTGCACTACCCCTTCCACCTCCTGGAGAGGGACATGGAGAGGGCAGGATGGGGAAAGCTGCATGTACTAAAGCATGTGGCTTTACCACGCGTCAGCGAGTTGACTCATGGACCCAGGCAGACGGCTGACACCCCTGGAGCTCCCAGCTCTTTTTTCCTCCCTTCCCCTGGACGTCTCCACCTCACAGCACAAACATCTGCACTGTACGTGAAGCAGCCCCCGGCAGCCTGCGTGTTACAGCTTGGCAGATTAAAATCATCTGGGGCTCATTCCGGGCCCCCCCATACATCAGGATGTACAGTAGCGGGTCAGGG